TTATTAGGCTCCTTTGAAAGCTTGCTCAGGGCCACTTTAATACTGAGCATTCTAATAATTTGGAGAGCTAAACTTTAAGCGTTCATTCTGTCTTGGAAAGTTTATCTCACTGTAACATTGGACCGTATTTACCCTCTCACACATGCAGGAGCTGAGTTGCATCCCAGACTGCGTGGAAATGTGAACATCCGAAACACATATAGCTGGGAAAAGACACAGAGGTGCAGATTCTATTTCACATTTATCCCCAATACAATCGCCAGCTTCTGCGCTGCTAAATATTTGATCATATGGTAATGAAAGTGTAGTTGGGATGCTTCCACCACCTGAAAGGGAAGTCCAAGAGCCCCAGACAATCTACATGGATAATGTCAAAGCAGCCATTCAGGCTGAATTAATTCCACAACACAAGATTGGTATTGATAAATATTTCCAGAAGTAAAACGGACAACAAACATAATATTTTAGCTTATCGTTCTCCTGACAGATGTGGTCATTTAACAAGTTGAAACTGAAATGGGCGTATAAAATCTGCCCATTTAGCTATGACAGGGCAGATTTCACGCCCTGTCTGCACCGGTTGTAAATTCTGTTCCAACTCTGCTCCAGTCAGAAGTCCCAATATATCACCGTTTCACAGAGGACTCTGCCCTATGTGAGCATATGCCTCGCTTTAACTCGGGGGGGGTTTGAAATGACAGCGCTGTGTGCTTTTTCACTCCCCAGAAGCCGGTAAGGCGGTGGAACAATAGGATCTGCTATGATGCCCTTCATTATCCTCTCAGCCTGAAAAGTCCCTTGATTTTCAAATGGTCTAAGTATTATTTCCACCCACTCCCATCCTTTTTCCTAAGTGGGTTTGATTTGGGGACAACAACCCTTCTACTATATCTGTTTCTCAAAAATCAGGGGGAACACCTAGGGACAGTCCCTCACAAACAGCAGGAGCAAACTGTACAGTTAATAGATTTGGAATTTAAAAGGGGCATTTAAAAAGAAAAGGTTCCTTTTTGTAACAGCAGAGTAGAGAGTGTATCGGCTAACTCTCGGTCCTGTATGAGGCAAAGAGCCTTTCCAAAATCACAGCCAGTGGCTCTGAAAATCACAGAGGCAGCAGAACAGGTCGGATCTTTCTGCCACTTGGTGCAGGGAACTTCCTTGTATTGCAGTCTCGTAAAGGTGTCTGTCTGGTCGCAATAGGGGAAGGCGAGTAGCAGGGTCCCTTCCTTGCCCAGTAGACCCAGGCAATGGCTTATTGCAGGTGCTACCAAGGGAGATTCGAGCTTCCCCAGGTTTTGACTGGTATTAACAGAGCTCCCTGGGAGGCCCTTTTTACTCTCCTTCTCATCCCCACCAACCCTTCCAGGCCGTCCAGAGTCAAGACTAGGGACTGATTCTGCCCCTGTTTAAGTCAGTAAGCCAAACTCCGGCTGTTCTCAATGAGAGAGGGATCAGACCTATAGACTTCATGGAGTTTTCCTCCTCTTTCGGTGCTGGGCTTTACAGATTCATTGTGTTCCCCTTCCCCAGCCCACCGTCTGCTTTCATCTCTGTCTGCTCCAGCCCTCCGCTAGAGCGGAGAAAAAGGAAACCGTTTGAACAGGATGTATGTAACGATTCTTTCTCGCAACACGCTCCCGGTACGACTTGAGATTTCAGAAGTAACAATTTTCTCTGTACCGACACGCGTTCTTTCCCTTTCCGTCGACACCCCGGTTTTAGAACCGAGTGGCTTGGGGGCTTGGGATCTTGGCAAGCGGGGCTAATCCAAAACCAACAGCCAATTTGCCCACCTTTGTAGGACGACAGGCTGGCGAGTGTGTTAGGTAACTTCAGGGAAAGTTGTCATTTCTCTCTAGGCAGAGTTTGGCCGGGCTGTGGTGGTACCTGGGATGCAGAGCTGAATGAAGGCCGATTTCTTAAATTGTATTTCAGTGAGGGGTCTTTCCGGGTTAATGAGCTGACATCATGATTAAAGCTGACCATTTGTAATGTGTCTCGACCCCGTTGAAAAGCACGGAAAAGGTTAATGTGGTAAAGCAGGACAGCACCTGCCCCTCGCAGGGAGAGGAGTTGGAACACTTTTCCTAATCAATTAGTCCATTAATGAGTCTATCAAGTAGTTAAGTAGTTAAAGATTATGCAGCTGGTCTGGGTAACAGTCGTCATCTCGCTATACCTAATTATATTATAAGTACCTTATTCAATATACCAGACATAATACGGTGACTTGGAGTTAATGAAAATGTCATTTTAAAACGTCTTGACATTTGTCTATATTGATTTGTATATTTCCATCTCATTCACTCGCCCCCACCCCGCGCCCGGATTTGTTTTTTTATTTTTGGAGGGGGGTGAACATACATATTATTAAAAGAATCAACAGATTGAAGCAGGGGGTCCCCAGTATATGTGACCAGAGGAAAGAGAAACCCATTTCCTCCTCTCACCTGAGCCCTTTTTGATGGGATCCATTTTGCTTGAAGGCGGAAGACATGGATCTCTTTCCCCTATGCAACCTGATTACTAGGGACAGTGTAAGATTGGGTTGAAAAAATGTTGTGAGCCCATCCACAAGCCAATAAGTATATCGGAAAATGTATGTAACCTAACGCACAGGGACTTCTAGTTGGAGAATAGTTATCCACGCATTTCTCTTAGCAGAATAGCTTCCCAGTTGGACGCGGAGATTTCAGTGTGGTTTTCCCACACCTGTTTATGACTGTTGTGCTTCCGTGTCAGATGCAATTCAGTAGCTAAATAAGATTTGGAAATTCGCCTGATCATATTGCTTTCAAAGGTTTCATATGCCAACGGTGACATGGTGCTATCCAAATCAAGTGAGAATATGATCTTCGGATAATATACTGCAGCACTGAGTACATATACCATGTTCACTGTGTGATAGCACTGTTAAATAGGAAGTTCGGGGAAAACAGAAATTAATGCAGAGGTTCTCCTGTTAGAGGGCCCGGGCCACAACATTTAGCTTTGAACTTTAGGAAAACCCCCAGCTCCCTTTGAAATGTCTATAGGAGGTAAAGGAAAAGAAGTTATAAACATGCAGACTTCCCTGCTCTGTACCTGTACTGTGCATTTGTGTAAATCCTGAAGTAGTGGCTTTAATTAAACCAACACTGAATTGAGCTTTCAAATCGCTGCCGATTTGCCACTAGTACAGGTTACATCCTTTTTCATTTCTGCCAACTAGAATGCACGTTATGTACCATTTTACAATAAGTAACCCCCCATCCTAATGCAATTGTAACGGGATTAAGGAGCGGGATGGTTGCAATCCTTAATGATCATGTTATCATTGTACTCCTCTGGAGGAAATGATTTTAAGACTTTGAAAGAGAGAGTTTTCCTTTCCAATTTCATGTCTTGGATGAAGGATGTACAACCCCAGAGGAAGTGAAACGAGTGCCAGTGTAGTTACAATGATAGCAATGAATTTTGTAAATCCCAATAGAAATGCCATCTGAACAGGATTTAAATATAGCTATAGGTATCCGGCTGCACCACAAAGACTTATTACATCCCACGGGGAAGGTTGGGGATGTACCTGCATCGTTTTGGGGCTAGGAAATGCGTTTCGTAGGTTGGATTGCATCCTACCATTGATACCTTTACTAAATGTTCCTTGCCTAGGCTTCTTGGCGCCAGGCAACTCAAATCCATTTAGTCTTTTCATCTCTCCCGCAATCTCCCAGCCGTGTACAAGCGGCAAATCTGGCTCTCCCGGAAAGGAGTCAGATCTTTGTGAGCCTGATACAACTCGTGAGCCGTTTGGCTGGCTCAATGTTTTAAAGACAAGCAGTTAAACTTGGGATGGGGGTTCATTCCTGCACGGGGGCCATTTCGATCTTTCGGTGGATGTTGTTAGACATTAGTGGGGGGCCTACTGAAAACAGCCAATAATTAATTAGGAGTCGGACGTTGATGGGGAGTTACTCAGCAGACGCTTCTTGTTTAAATTACCCCTTCTTTAGGTCGGATATAGAGGATATTAGTTACAAAATGGAAGCCGGTGCCTTAATCAAACCAAATTCTCCTCTAGCACCTGGAATTTTCTAGATCTAATTTGCTTGCGTTTTTATATTAAATAATGGTAATAAATAAAAAAAAATTCTGCTCCCAGGTTTGCCTGTTTTCGCTGGGACTGTGTTCTCTCTGGTGTAGGAATGCTCTCTGGCTCCTGAAAAGTTCATTTGGAAATATACAAAAGCATTTCCCCTTTACACTGGGGAAGACAAAATGAAAAGGGAGTCATTTACTCGACCTCCTTTACCATTTTATATGTAGCATCAAAACTCCTGTCTTTAAATCTTTATGCTCAAATGTTGCTTGTTAGGCAGCAGACTCTAGCAAATCAGTTTCATGAGCAAAAGGGTGAAAACCCACGGAAATGCACAATGTGTTTATTTAAACAACATCCCATTGTTTTAAATAAGAGATTCAGACCACATCAGTTCACCCCCAGTCCCACCTAAAAGGTTACAAACGCGGTGGTGGAGAAGGAAAAGACACTTAAACGCTTGTTTGGCATCTATTTTATCCCTATTAGCGGCCGGCTTTAAACTGAGTCATCCACTTGTAAGTTTAATGAGCGGCTGCGATCCAGTTCTGTTGGCTTCAGCCAGCAGCCCCCCGAAAACCAGCGGGCTTGCGGGGGGCTAGAATTTTGAAACTTTCCGGGGCTGCCAGCAGTCTGTGATTGGCCCTGGCAGATGTAACCTCCATGCAAATGAAGCCACGCCACCCCGCCGCCTGGAGATCAGTAGAGATCTGAGAGAGAAAGGAGCATGCATTCAGGCTGGGCAAGCTCAGGGAAAACCTGCAAAGACACGCCAAAAACACACCCCAAAACACAACCAAAACAAGCCCAGACGAGCCCCCCCAGCCGCCCCCGACCCTCAGGCACACGCATTCACACACACCTTCCCCCAGAGTGGCTCTAAAGGGAGAGCTTTCTTCCTCTTATTTCTTATGAACCCAGGATGAGCAACAAAGAAGACCCGAGCAAGTGTTGCCCCGCAGCCGCTCCGATCTCCAGTTTTACCATCCAGTCCATCCTGGGCAGCGGTACCTCGGAAGGGGGCAGGGAGCCCAGTTCCAAGGCAGCGGCCGCCTGGCCGGGCAGGAAGCGAAGTCTGTCCGTGTCCTCAGAGGAAGAGGAGCCGGAGGAGAGCTGGAAACATCACGGCTGCTTCTGTCCTGAGTCGCAGGGCCCCAAAGAAACTTGCCACAAACACCAGCCCATCAGTTTCACGTGTCTCAGTAAGTACTGGACAAATTTACCTCCTTAGGAAGTATGTAGATCTCCACCTAGCTAGATGTTACTATCTAGAATGACAGCTCTCCACCGTGCATTCGCTCTTCTCGCTCGGGCTTTTAGCTGGTGAAACCTTTTCATTTACATCTTAGCGTGGAATAAACAGTATGTTGTGACCAGTTTATAGAGGTATGTCTAAACGCAGGGAAAACCAGTGTCTCGGGCGTTTGGGTGTACAAGCCCTTTGAAAACATCTATTGTCAAACGGTAACATGTACATACCATGTCCTTTTATTTCTTGTTTGTTGTGGATGGTATTTCACTGAACATTTGCGCTGATTTCTGGCCAAACTGAGTTCGTGTCGGTGTCTTACCCGATTTGGTACAATGGATTTAGAGATACCTTAGCTTTTAGTCCTTTCCCTGCATATTTTCCTCCTTCCCTTGTGAACGATTATCCGTTTAACATGATTGATAACTGTGGTTTTCTTAGATTGTTCTTCTTTACAGCTCCCGAGTAAGGGGAAGAAAGATGTTAGTTCTTAGCATTGTTTGGGAATAAACGGGCTGTGAAATGTTATGCTATAAAGTAAGATCTACCAGTTCTTCTGCTATAGGAAAGAAAGATCTTTAACAAAAAAACAACAACCCCCCCCCAACTCCTGGTTATTCATCTGTCTTCACTCAGGATAGAAGGGATGTATTTTTAAAGTAAAGAACCTCCATTCTGGAGGCTGATTTTCCTCAGCACTTGAGCTTGGAAATAGAATGAACTGGAATTTTGGAGCTGCACATTGCAGCTGTGAAATTGACTGATTTTCTTTAGCTAGTCTCTGTGCACTGGGGAGCTGGCAAAAATGAGCATTTTCTATGTGTAGAGCTTTTTGAATACGCTGAAGAGTGTCTGATGCGGAATATCTCTGTTTGTTTGCTTGTTTGTTTGTTTTCTTCAAGGCAATCCAAAGGGAAATGGAGGAGCAATGACGGTAAATACAGACAGGACGCAGTTCCTCTCCCAATCCCAACAGGACTTGAAGGAGGAAAAAGAGAAACACTTCCCTCCAAACTCCCCGTCTTCCGGGGACAGACAAAGGGACGGAGGGGACAGACAGGCTAATTCAGCCAAAAAGAAGACCCGCACTGTTTTCTCCCGGAGCCAGGTGTACCAGTTGGAATCTACCTTTGACATGAAGCGATACCTGAGCAGCTCGGAGAGGGCCTGCTTGGCCTCCAGTTTGCAGCTGACGGAGACCCAGGTGAAAACCTGGTTCCAGAACCGCAGGAACAAATGGAAAAGGCAACTCTCGGCAGAACTGGAGGCGGCCAATATGGCTCATGCCTCAGCTCAGACACTAGTGGGGATGCCCCTGGTTTTCAGAGACAATTCCCTTCTGAGAGTGCCGGTGCCCAGGTCTATCGCCTTCCCAGCCCCTTTATACTACCCAGGCAGCAACTTGTCAGCCTTACCTCTCTATAATCTCTACAACAAGATCGACTACTGACTCTGAAAGCCGATGGCACTGTCTCCTTCTCTGTATAGCTCTCGCTAGCCGCGATGACCTTTCATAGATTTCACTCGTCTGTATCCACAGGAAAACAAATGTGCTTCTTGCAATGTTAAGAAATACACCATGTGTATTCATTATTTTTATTTATTGGATCTTCTCGATTTGTTTGTTTATGTTCTAGGCTGGCATAGTGTTTTTATGTACGATCGCCATGCATTATCCCACCAGACATAACTGACTTTCTGAGCTTCACGGGACTTTCAAAACAAATTGCAATCGTCTCTCTATCTACATGTGCAGGTAGGAAAAGGCCCAGGGCGCTTGGTTATTTGTCTCTGCAATTGTATAGGCCAATTTCAACCCCCCCGCCGCCCCCACTCTTTTCCTGAATATTATTCTATCACTTGAAAATAAAATTTAAAAAACATATTTCAAATCTGTAAATATTTTTAAAGAAAATAAAACATTTTAAACATCGTTTGTAACTTTTGCCAAGTTGATTGCATATTTCAGTTCAAAACGCAAAGCGCATTGTTGTTGAACTATGGTATTAGCCGTGAAGGAGGTTACAATTAACAGGGAGAGGGACAGAAGCCTCTTGCTTTGTGCCGCCTCTGTTCGAACGAGAAACTTTCAATAGCTGTTTCCGACTGATTTCAGGAAATGTTGTAATTCTCTCTTTAGAGTTACAAGAGCCCTTGACTTCCACCAGCGGGATTCCACCTACTTTTGGAGGCATTTGCAGCAAAGTCAACCGAACATGAACTGTGCACTGATCAAAACAGGGCTGGAAATATGGAGTAACTCAAAGTGAAGTAATCCGGCAGCTGCGATGTAGGAAGGGTAAAAAAAAAGGCTAGTGGGAAAATAAAATCTTAGCCTAGGCAAGTCACTGTAAGACCTGCAACTACTGTAATAATATGTTAGTCTTTTCGATCCTATATAGGTTTTGCCATGCAAAATGCATCAGAATTATCAACACCAGTGAATTTTAGTTTGTGTAAAGACTCTAAATATTAAAAATACTGTAATTAACTAGTAATTAATTTTTAAATAGAATATCTAGATGTAGTTACACCCACCACTATCTATCCCTAATCCAACCCTGATATTCTATTATTCTATGGTTCTAATCAGCATTGTCTATATAGGTGCACACTGTTGTTTGATATTTTTCTATTTCATATTTACACCCCACTTCTCGCCAGAAAACCATACTGAGGCTATGCATGTGAAGAAGTACTTTTCTTCCTCACCTCCACCATTGTAAGTATCGTGAATGGGAAACGTAGCCTACAGATTGTAATCCCCAAACCTTGCAAATGTCAAATACATTTGAATCACAGCAGTCCTGGTGTCTTTATCTGGAAATAAGATGAACCTTCTTTATTAAGTGATCAGAGAAGAGAAGTGTTTCCGGAAATGAGGGGTGTTTTTATGTAGTTTGCAGTGTATTCTGCTAAATGCCACGATCACATGTAAAGTGCTTGCCAGCTCCTTTTAATAGAAATGTGACATTCTGAGCCATGATTGATTTTAGCGCTCAGCAGCTTCTCTTGCAAGTGCTAAAAACACCTGCAGCTTCCTCTGTACAGAGGATGAAGTGAATCGTTTAAACAAAAAGTAAATACTTCATCAAGTGTTATTTAAATTGCAGGCACCGTTGCATTTTTATCAGAGCCACCTGTTCCTTGGTTAAGGATTTGAATACAGGAAGATATTTTCAGAAGCAATAACTAAATACATTTCAACTGACATTACATTTACGATAAAAAAAAATAGAGCCTGAGGATTATAACGGTATCATCCTGGTAAATGAAATGAAATGAAAACTCCCTGAGTGTTTCCTTTCATGTAAAACCAAACATTTTAAAGTATTTTGGAGTACCAAATTAAATAAACTATAGTGAAGGGCTTCGGGTGAACATTTTTAATGGCTCAGATGAAAATCAAACTCATGGTTTGCTATGATTCAGGATCATTTAATCACATTATCATCTTTAATTTTTGCCCAGGGTTGGCATTAAAAAAAAACCAGAATTCACTGAAATGTTTTGCATTTTCACTTTGGATTCTTCCATAATTTCGATTTATTTTGCCTGTTAATATTATTAACAGCTAAATATCAGATCTTTCTAAAATACACCGGAAATAAGAGGCTGAGATGAATGTGAAGTTTTACTACAATATTATTGCATTTCAAAAGCTTTTTATGATCACAATTATACCATGCTCTTCTCTGTACATACACACATACAAAAATAGTCTTCTTTATTACATTATATTAAGGAAAATAAAAAATAAATTCAAATATTCTCACTCGAGGTTCACTGTTAATAAATACATTTCAGATTCCTTTGTAACCCCCCTACATTTTAAAATAATCCTTTGACATACTCCTCCAAGCTTGAGAAATGAAAGGACGCCTTTTCTATTGTTCATTAGTAATTACCCTTGTTAGCTTCGTGAGAAGCAGACATCTTGAGTCATATTATATATACAGCATGTTTGCAACAGAAAGACTATATCGGTGTGGAATTGGCTGCTTTCCACTCTCTTTACACTAGTAAATGCAGAAGCTTACTCCTAGGGGTGATCCGGAAGGCAGCCAGTACTAATTCCAGATTGGATTGAAGGAACCTTTACAATCAGAGTCTCTCCTCCCACTCTTTCAATCTTGAAACTTTTTGATACTCTGTGGTATTAAGATATAATGAATCAGTGGGTAAGCTTCAGTTCCTTGGCACTATTTTATATAACTGCCTATCTTACTTTTAGGAGCAGGCGTTTATAATTAATTTCCAATTAAAACAAATTTGACTCCTCTCAGAGGCTAATTGTCCTTTGCAGTTCTCATTAATAAAACCCAATGCGATATAAGATTATGCAAATAAGTCAAGAAGAGCTTTTGATGTCCAAGAACTAAAGAGAGTGGGCGAGAAACGAAATCGCTTAAAACTGCAAGGGGAATGCCGCAGCTATCTCACAGAGGCATGAAGAGGACAGGTGGAATAAATACTATTCTATTTAGAGGAGCGAATATCATACAAAGTGTGTCCCACAAAGCTTTAAAAGGTTGAATAACATCTATTTATAGAGTTAAGTAACAGTAGAGAGGAAGAGAAAAATGAAGGATACATTTTCAGCTGAGGAACTTATTTAAAAAGAAAAGAGAAGAGGAGGAGGAAAATCAGAGAATCCTACAAGGCCAGTTTTAATGCAACTGGTTTTGCTAAGACTCCGAATTAAAATATATAAATACAAGTAAATAGAAAAAGCAAATAGAATGAGAAGGGAGAACACTAATTGCATGCTTCTCCATTTCTTATTGGAGCCATAAAGGAAAGTGCACTTTTTAAAAGTATGCTCAAGGGGAATTTAGGGGTACATCTCCTGCCTGCTGTACAGCGTTGTGTGCGCACGCAAGAATGGAATAGTGAGTGTACGGATGGAGGGGGCCGCGGAGACAGCTAGTACACGGATGGAGTTAAGCATGCATGGACAAATGGTGCATGAGTGGAACTGGTTTATGGATAAATGATGCAAAGAAGGAGCGAGGGCTGGTATAGGGATGGAGTGGGTCTACCTACGCACCTATATCTATGTCTTCCCCATGGGTGGATGGGTGCATGAATAAAACTGATTCTTTGATAACAATGGAGCATGGATGAAGCCGGAGCTAGCCGGTGCATGGAGTTGGTGCGCGGGTGGAGTTCCGCACAGGAGAACAGTCTGTGGGGCCAGGGGAACCCCCCCGCAAGTGATCCCCACTTTGGTTGCTTGTCCTTGACCTTTCACTACTGTTCACCAGCTCCCTTCTCCTCTCCCCCGGGAGAGCAGCAGCCACTCCGGCCAGATCAGCACAATCCACCTTCGTTATGTCCCATAAAGCACCTAGGCAAAGAATCCCTTGGCCAAACGGTAGCTCCGCCTGCACCAGAAGGTGGCCGAGACGTGCACACTGCAAGTCCCGGCATGCCATGTCCCATCCGGAGACCGGCTCCTTTGGCGTACGCTTTTTCTATGGCACACTGGGACATGTAGTCTTCGCACAGAGAAGCCACCGGTGCCGGTTAGCGCGTTGCATGCTGGGAGTTGTAGTTGCACGTGTGCACGCGGGGTATGCTGGGCTGTGTAGCTTCGTCATTCAAACCTGCCAATCGGAAGGACCCGCGCGGTGGTGGGGCGGGGTTGTGTTGGGGGCAGGCGGCCGCGGCGCGCGCTGAGTAGTGGCGGTTGGTGGCAGGCCCGGAGGCGCTGTAAACGGGACAGCCAGCAAGGTAGGCCGGGCTCTCTGTGGGCCGGGGGGCGGGAACGACGCGGAATGGAGAGCCCGGGGCGGGGAGTTGTTTCCTGCTTCTTTCGGGGCCAGCGGAAAAGGGCCTAGATCGGGCAGGCCGGGCCGGGCCGGGCTGGCTGCACCACCTCGGCCGCGCCGGCTCAGGGCGGGAGCTGCCTCAACCCTTCTGTCGCCCCCGCAGGGGAACGATTCGCTCCGCCGAGCTGGGAGTGTATCCAAACCAGACCCTCCGCCCCCCGAGCCCGCGGCTCCCTCAGCCTCTCCGCCCCTCGTGCTGCCCCGCTCCCCTAACCTCCCCGCCCGGTCCCAGCTCCTCTGCCCGAGGCTCCCCCCCACGGCGCCTCCCCGGTCCCCTCCGGATGCTCCCTACATTGGGGCCGGACCCTTCAGCCCCCCCACGCCCCGCTCTGTGCCCCGCGAGGCTCCCCATATGGGGGGGGCACCTCCCCTGAGGCTCCCTACACGAGGGCCCGGCTCTCCTCAGGTCCTGGCTCCCAACTTCCCCCGAAGTTCCCCCTGCCACCCAACCTCCGCGCAGGGACCCTAGTCCTTTTCTGGCCCTGCACATGCCCCCGCCTCCTAGTCCTGTTGTGGGTACAAGCACGCTCCCCTGTCCCCAGCCTCTCCACATGAGTCCATCGCCCTGGGCATGGGTGCCCCCATCCGTCTCCATACCCGCGTACTCTCCTAATCA